TGATATACAGTGACTTGAGCGTCTGTGGAATGAATTCCAGAGAGCGATTTAAGAAAGCAAAAAGTTATCATCTGCGCGAACGTGCAGATTACTTCCTTTACATGATCGGGAACTAATAATCGCGAGAACAATTATGTTATAATAACCGACGGAGCAAGGAAGAGAGGGTAGAGAAGTTTTATTTTTCACTCTGAGTTAGATAGTGTATCTTAGTATAAAAGAGTGCGCAGAATGGACTTAGGTTAGGTATTTATCTTGTAATTAATTTAAGCTAACGGTAAGGCACACGCATTTCAAGATACTTGACGGTGTTCCACATTTAACATATTTGGTTGTGAAAAGATTTACGAATTGAGAATAAATATGGAACGAATATGAAAGAAATTCCATATTTAGGAAAGAACATTCGTTAAAAATACCTTATTTAATATTTTCAGTATTTGATTTCAGTATTCTTTCCAAAAGGAATAGTAAATTTTAAGTAACTTCAAAATATTTTTATATTGTATGGTAATAACTTGAGAAAGTAGTATGTGTTGGATCGACAATCATTACCCATGATGTTAACTGATGATTCCTATCTACTACAATCTATCCCAACCGAAGTCAAATTGACGAAATTGCTTAATCGATAATACTGCAGCCTTTATATATGCAGCTGCTGCTTGCAAAAGAATGACCGAAAAATGATGATCATTTCCGATCTCACTAATAATAACAGCTAATTTTATTATAGCTATTTTGGATACAATAGCCAATAATTTATTATTACTTTTATAATAAAAGATTTATTCTTTGAAAATTTATTATTAATGATACATTTAGTAATTTGTACATTCTTGCAAATTATAACTGTATTTACAACCCCATAGTATACATTCCCATGATACATCTATGTTAAAATATTCTTATTACCTTCTGAAGTTAAGAATATGTATATGGTAAAAAAGAGTTAGATTAATTAAGAGTTATCAATTAAGAAAATCTATAAATATATGTATGAAATTATTCACGCTATAATTAATTATAAGATTGCAAAATTAATAATATAAGGATAAAATATTTCATTAATAAATATATCAGTTACATTACATTTACTTTTTTAATCATTCGATAAAAAGGTTTACCCTCGCATCGAATATCTGTTTTATCGATTACGTATGTTACGTTGAATATAATTTCTAAACTCCTAGCTGTAAATCATAGAGGGCGTAACGGAACCTCTGTTTTTTTTGTACAATCGGTATTCCTGAGCATAGAATACAAAGTCTCATAATATGTTGTCTATTCGATAGATTGTCGTCTGTGGTGACAAGTCAATTGTTTACGTCGTATTTAAAATAAATTCAACGGACAAACGAATATCAACAATTTATAGTGACAAGCGTGCGTGTTGTCATGGAAATCAATTATATAGTACCATCATTCGACAAATAATTTCGTGGACTGTTTCGTAAAATCAATGAGAGTATTGATTTCAGATCCAATATTGAACCTCATTTCTAAAATTATTAGAACTCTAACCAAAGACGTTCTTTATAATAATTATAGAAAATAACGGTTTTTCGAAACTATTTCAAGAATCAAAATGGATATAATAACACTTTTCAATTCCTGCATATTAAAGAGCCGATCCATATAAATCACGTCGTAAATGCATTTTCACATTTACTTCGAGATTGCTAACAGTAGATTCTAGAAGTCAATAAATTTGTCTTACCAGGCATAATTATATGGCAGGGTAATGCATTTATCACGGAACTACAATGTGTCTGCATATATACATACGTGGAAGCTTGTTTAAAAATAAATTGAGTAATAGATTCACGCTCACAGCAGGTGAGTTTAGATGTGTATTGTGCCGAGTCGCGTGAAATCGAGAGCTGACGAAAATGTGTCGGCGCATGCTCGAATGCACTCTTATCCAAAGGAATCGTGGCATTTCGGAAGCGCGGACGGAGCCATGCTTTCTAACTTTTGCCTTGTAAATCGCGCTCCATCGGAAGACGTGTGCAAACTGATAACATCTACCGTTCTATGTTAATATGCACAGTGAAAACGGATCTGATTCTCTTAGGTTATTTTTTGAAATTGCGTTAATCAACACAACGGAATATTCATAACCTGGTATTTAATTTGGTGTTATGTTTCTCTATCGAAAAAGGTAAAAGTTTAGAAGTTTCGTATCATATATAATGTTATACGAAACATGAACTTTGTAGAATCTTGGAATAACATCTAGAATGATTCGTATAACTGATAAGGTAATAATTTTTTACTACAAAATAAATTAAAAGTTTGAAATAATCTCTGCATCGAAGCTTTTGTACATTACAATTTTGTTATAATTTAGAATTTTTTTTGTTATAGGTAACAACTTTTTTCTGAATCGATGTTTATATAAACATAAAGTGAATATTCTACAACGCATAAAATATTGTTCTACAAAATTCGTGGCATCAGAATTAAGAAACTTGTGTTGACTTTAATTGAGATAGGAATTTTATTCATTATGTGAATAACATGATGCGCGCATGCCTCTGCGACATTGCAATCATGATCACAATTGCGTACGTTGTGTTGCATCTATTGCAGGCGCTCTTTCTTCACCTTCTAGAACTCGTAGGATTTTATTGTCTTCTCTTATTGAAAAGTTGTTCTATTTTTAAATTATTCCTTGCACGCGTATATATGCGTGTGTGCACACTTTAATGTGTAATAATTATATTAATTAGTGAAATACAATCAGTATAATCAGATACTTTAAATCAGATATTAAATTCAATGTGTTGGAATAAGTTCTCACTGTTGATGACTTGAAGGTTCTCCGGGTTGTTTAACAATCCAAATCCTTTCCTGCTTCACCGCATTTCCCGGATCATAATGGCGAACACAAGAAACGGTTCATAAAACTTGTGCATAGCTGTTCCTGTATTTTATGTTGATTTTTATATTTCGTTCATTCCTGACATACTTAAATCATCGATTGCATAATAATTTATCTAAGAAAATTTCTTCGAAAGAAGAATTCAATGATTTCTGTTATATTTTATGCTAGTTGAGAATTTCAATTAAGCTATTAAATTTACAGGTCTTTTATTCTTGTATTTTAACTCAGTATTCTCTTCCAATTTTCTTATATAATAAAAAATGGTTTATTCGTTTTTAAAGTATTTATTCGTAATAAATTGGTTTGTAATAAGATAAAATTTCTAAATACATAAATTATAATGATTTCTAATTTTTTAATTTATCATATTACTCTTTATTGTTTTACCAATTGTTTAGTAATATGCAATATTAAAGTTTTAACTAATTACTAATTCTAAATAATTATTGTAGAATTATAAACAATTATTAATGTAATAGTATAATGTAATAGTGAGTGGCTCCATCACTCGTGCAAATCCATATGCAGGAAAGCACGTGTCAGGCATACATAACCACAACCAGCAATTCGTTGCTTCAATTCTTTGACTGAGAACAGAATTCAACCTTTTTTTCTTCCCTTTAACGTTTTCTTGATTCAATACGGTTTTTCGCCTTCCAGCCGCAAAGAAAGAGCCAATGGCAGGGTGTGACGAAGGTATACTGTTCAGAACCGGCAATACAGCAGCTGCTATCGATGTTCTAGCACGCGTCTGTTGCCAACGGTCGCTGTGCATCATGTGTGACCCTCGTACGCACCCTCAGTATGTTTTCAAACACATTCGTGAATAGTGTTGTGTCGTGCAGAGTAGAGATTCAGCAAAGATGGGTTTGAAATTGCGTCGTATTTTTCAGAAAGTTTGGTGAGTCATAATTTTCATTTATCCTAATTCCAGTATCTCAATTGAGTTTATTTTTGACATGTTTATTGAATAATACGATCGTTGAATATTTTGATGGTTATGTTGCGTCGTTTGAATTCAGCGACGGGTTTTCGGCACGTTTTTGCGTTCACAGAGCGAGAAATTCTCAAGTAAAATTCCGGTACGGTAGATTCCATAAATGAATCATTTTAACTTAGTGATATAAGATGAAATAATTCTTACATAAATTTATTAGATTGCGATTTTTAACGTGTGAAATTATATTTTAGTCGATCATATTGTCCGTTGTTTCGCAGTAGCATAAGGGAGATGAATTGTTGATAAGCGTCTAATTTAACTCGACTGTGGGAAGTTATATAGTCAATATTATTAGAATTGAAACGTTTTATGTTCAGGTCGGTTCGTAAAATCGTCGATGTTCTTTTTCAGTTACGAAATCAGTGTATTGTAGCATAACGAGCAAAATCAAACATGTGTATATACTAACCTCAATTTTCTAATTTTTTTTAAATCAAATTATACGATAGTTTTTTTATAAATATCTCTTGCTTTACTACAACATTTGGAAATATTTCATTATGTATCAGTGTTATGTATTATTTGTATAAATATCTCATAAAATAATTTTGGGAAGGTGTCTTAAGAATTTTTTGAGTACGTTTATTTCAAATAATTTTTGAAGTTAATAATAAGTTAATTTCTTAAGTCAATGTTTAATTTAGGAATAGGGACATTTCATCTATTGCAATTAATTCGTTCTTTGTCCATTTAGTATAGTGTATTAATCGGTATATAATGATGTATATATCTTCTTTATTCGATTTACATAGATATATTTAGTTTCAAATAATACATTGTTAAAACTCTATATCAATTTCATATAAATAGAAATTCTTTCAAAAGTTTATTGCGAAAGAGATATGAGTATTTCTATTATTATCGACGTGTAATTTAATTTTTTTTAATATTATTTCAAGATAAAGAACAATCGAGATTCGAAGAAATTTAAAATCGACAAATCCATAAAAATCATTCGTTTATCGGTAGTTTCGAGTGGTTACGATGATGACCGAGCGACTACCGAAGTCACCCGAGTGGCTGCCGGAAATCTACGACGAACAGGCGCGAAAACTACCGAAGCTGTTCGCGCGAAAGCCGTTAAGTCTTGATCAGTCGGAGTCCGTCGATCAATGAGTGTGGATCGTTAAGTTTTTCTCTGACACGTGTGCCTTTTCACCGTGATTAATCGCATAATCTACATAAATTTCTACATTTCCAAGAAGACAGTCGAAACATTTGATTTGATTGTACATTTGAATAATAAAAGAAGTCGTGGTCGTTGGTTGGCAGTGTGATTTTCTGACGTGGACCGACATAAAAGTTCTCGAACTTTTTTGTCAAGCATAAAAAGTGTTAGTGAGAGAAAGAAAAATATAAATTCGTGGAACTCGTGACTAGATAAATACATCTGAGAGACTACTGCGGAAAGTCACATTCAGTGACTATTGGGATGACAACAACGGAGAATTAATCGGTGAGTTGATTTCTCTTTGAATCTTTCCCGCCTCTTTTTTAAAAATTCAAACGACGTAAAAAAGAAAAAGAAGAATTATGCGTTTCTTCTTCGTCTTTAAACAGCATTCAATAGATTAGATATTAGGTATTTCCGTTTCTATATCATAAACAATTTTGTTATCATGTCATTAATATTGCATGTACAAATTATACGTTTTGCAATAATTAGGACGTGACTAATCTTCCATTTCGTATCTTTAAAAATGTTAATTTGTATATGCAAGTTTCCATTAGTGACGGTAAGTACTAAAATCGTCAAAATAAATTTTTAAAAATTTTCCAACGAGTTTTGTAGTACGTAATAATATAAATTTTTAGAGAAAGTACGTTACTAGACAAACTTTTTGCATTCAAATTATGGAACGTAGAAAAACGTTATGAGTTACATGCGTTATCCTAACGGTCGTTTTTGGGATGTTTCATTTTCGTAGAAAATATCGTAAAATTGTTGTAAAAAAGATATTTGTTAGATTTAATTTTGAACTAATTTTTTTTGTATTGGCACACTCTGGCAGGATGATATGATTTTCTATTGCGTACTTCGAACAATTTTTCAAATATTTTCTCTCCTTATCTGTCTCGCAAAGTGTTCCGCAATAAACCTAGACAATAAACTTCTTGACAGACGTCACACATAAATTGTCTTATGATTTCGTAGGATACTTATCGTTCTGATAAAGCTTTTACAGATTTCTATTTACCAATGCGCTAATATCTCGAAATTTCTCGTTAATTATCGCCATTAGATTCGCATAATGTAAATATGGCGACGTTGCACATATTTTAAAGTACGAAAGCGTTTTTTTATATAACCTAATAATGTGCACTTTTTGTAACGTTTCAGGGTTAAATAATCAATTATATCGCTTTTATCGATAAAATTTATGATTTCCGTGATGGCAGATATTCACCGGCATTTTTTTTCCATTTTTCGCAGAATCTTTATCACGCAACTATACGTACTCACCTTGAGGTGCTAAAAACTTCCATTTGTTTTAAATTGATAAAAAGCTGGCTGGTTTGATTTATTCTTGATAATAAATACCTACGTTATCGAGAAAATATTTCGAATTATTTGTCTGCTCCCGAATCGTTTTCGAGATTTCGTAAAGCCCAAAAACCAAACAATAATGTAAATTCGCTGAGCAACGATGCATTATGTGAAGTTTAACAACAATTTCTGTAACAATTGCAATTTTTGCAATGGATTATTATATAATAGTCCTATATATTATACTAATAATCCAATTATTAATATAACAATATTTAGGTAAGGGAAAAAATAAGTTGGGGAATGTTGGCCGCTATCTTGTCCCTATGATAATTCCCTATAATAACTATTTAGTAATTAATCGTTATGAATTGTTAGAAATAGCAAATACAAAAAAGTATACGGGTTAAATATTCAATATAAACTGGTAAATTTTATTCGAAGAACCAGTAGTCAAATAGAGAGCGACAACCGTCGGCAGTTTGCATGGCTTAGTTCGTGTTTGAAGTTTCCCTTTTAGTATTTCTGGTTTCCCGGCTCTATAAACGTCGCGAATCCCGTGTTTGTACAAGAATCAATCACAGGTGGTCTTTTGACAGCCGTGTTTCTTACGTAAAACAGGAGAAAATAAATTAAGCGTTTCGCAACGAACGTATGGGCATGGGGTTACAATTTATAAAATAAAAAGAGGAAAATAAAAATAGGTTATGTTAATCCTAAAATTCAGAAGAATATGGTCAAAACTGAAAATCAAAAATTTCAAGCTTCATTCATACAAAAAAGAAGATAATATCAAGAAGCGGTGGTTCTTATAATAATTCCCCAGAAATTCTCTGTTCTATTCATAAATTTAAATACCACTCGATCTCAAGAAATAACATTCGCAAATCATAGGTAAATATTAATCATGGTGGTTAATATAAATCCTATAATCCGTGGCATAAATTTAAATTCAATATTAACTGCAATTTATATCCCCGCTTTTCCTAACGTATAAAATTTTGTAGTTTCAGCCAGTGTACCCTAGCTGAGTACTGGTCTAACTATCGATGTCGTTAGAACGTAATTTCGACAGCAAGTAAACAAACCGTGCGCGACCTTTCCATCTTGAATTTTGTTTATCTTCGTCTGAACGCGCTCGTCGTTTCTCTACGCGGCCATTTTTTTCGTCTGCCGTTCCGGGAATACAATCGAACCAAGGCACCTGTCGCGACCACGTGCGTTCTAACACGCTCGTGTTATGTGTAAAAATAGTTTTTTTTACGGTCGCTGCCGGGTAGTCCGTTAGTTGACAAAGTTTATGACCGGCGATCTGCCTGACGACTGGAATAATAATTATAAGACAGTCACCGACTGGATTTAAGCTCATATATCCGTCAGCCATATTGAATCTGACGTTTCTGATGTGCTTAACCTCTCAAGCCGGTTCAACGTAACGTATAAACGTATATACGACAATATAGCGCGAAATTATCTGCTCGATGAGTTAATGTTTTTTGATTCGACTGTTCAGTCAGAGTGATGTGCGCTGAATTAAAAAAAGTCTTTCAGTTAAAAAATTAATTTTTATCGGGTAATAAATAATTTACTCTTACTCAAACGATAAAAAGAGTAATTACTGTAATCATAAAATTTTTAAATGTAATCAGGTAATTGCAATTGCAGAATTATAGTTCGCATTTTGATCACATAATTTCTTAATTGTAACGCTTAGATAATTAGGTATTCGTCGATAATTAAGCAAGTTATTAGTGATGAAATTGTTAGAGGTTGAATAGAAGAAAGAATATAGAAGAACATAGAATTGTAAGTAAGGTAGAAATTCTAATTTCGTAATTTATCAAGCAAATAAGGCTTGGTATGCTATCAATGGGTATAACTTTGAGCACTATCTTATCCAGTTTAGGCTGGCTGTTATCGAATCGGCTCTTTTGAACATTCTCATTCATCTTTTTCTTTCGTTCTTCTTGTTCCTATTGAACTTGCAACACACGGGCTATTGCAGATTCTCGGACACTTTCGCTGTCGGCCGAGTTTTTGCTTGTCAGATGTGTGTCTGTATATGTGAGCAAATATCCTGGCCTTGATTTGAAAATCTGGGCCGCGTTGCATGTCGTATCGGTGCTATAATCAGGCTGTGTACAATGACTGGTTGCATATGCTTATCTTCCACTTTTTTCTATCCATTGAATGCGAATTCATTTTGTCCCGTGTACCAACATAATTAAATCATCTGTGTACTGTACAATTCATCATGTACAATATTAAAAAATACCTTTGCTTGGGTGATCTTATGAGGAGAAGAGGATGGGTTAATTGGCCATTAGAACTGCTTTTTTTATAGGCTTGTTTCTATGGGCGTAATAATTCTTTAAGTTATAAATCTTTTAATTTAAATTTCAAGTTTCAAAATTTTTATTCTAAATGTCGGAATTTAAATTTCAAATTTCATAATTTAAATTCCAAGTTTCAAGATTTAAGTTAAAATTTCGAAATTTTAATTCTAAATTTCGGAATAAAAATTCTTAATTTTAGAATTTAAATTCTAAGTTTCAAAATTAAAATTTTAAACCTTGCAATTTAAAATCTGAATTTTCTAAATTTTTTAAATTCCAATACTCACAAAGTATACCAATAATTATGGAAAGGAAACCTGTACCATATAATATTCTTTGATTATTGACTCGTAAGGAAAGAAATATCCGGCAGACGTTTAGTTTTATCTGTACGGCTTAAATCTTCTGAATAAGTGACTTCGAGTATCTTTCTGCTCCGCTAATTAGGCGTTGCGTGGATTATTTAAAAAGAGGAATTTACGAGGAGTAATATCACGGTATAATTTCATATTAAATTGTCGACCTGCCTACCGCTATCGTGGCTTATCATTAATAAATAATTAACGACGCAAATAACGCTGCACGTTAGATTTTAAATAGTTGCCTTAATTACCGTGTTTCCATAAAGTAAAACGTGGAATTTAAATTCCACCAAGCTGTTCAACAGTTTCTGAAATTTTCTCTCTTCTTTTGTCCATCCGTAAGTAACATCTTTCATCGTTGGAGAAAATAGATATTGCAGAGTGTTCAAGGCTTTCAAGATGTGTGACTGTTAATTTCTCGCGAAACTTTCATTTCCTTATCCTATTCCCCGTTTTCGGGCTTCTCAGTTTGTCGTGGCAGATATTTATTATTGGAGGATAATTGACAAACCAGTTTCTGAATGAGTTGAATGGAAGTATTAATAATCATACACACGAAACGAATACCTTTTAGTTAAAAGACAAGTAAAAGACACTTTTTTTTCATTCTTGACTTTCTCTCGTGTATCGTACTGTGATTATTTAGTGAAACCAGTAATTTTAGGAGTCGATGACTGTAGTTGCTCTTATCTAAATATACATCATAAATTGGTTCAGCTTTGTCTTTCTCTAAATTAATATTAAACGTAACGTGTAAGATGTATGAATAGTTCTTTATATCTCAATAATTTGTATTCTAGCATTTACTGAACTTAATATTTAATATTTTGCATTATTCGATATTTAATATTTAATATTTTTTAATATTAATATTGTTTTATATTACTTAATATTTTGTATTTTAACAGTAATTTTATTCCTGTTTGGAAATAGCAGCGAGTGAATTTCAGACATACTTAAGATTCATAATTCAATTTTAAAAAGCGATTTCATATGCAAAAAATTTTTATAGTTGTAAATATTAGTTATTGCTAGTTACCCAATTATAGGCATTCGTTTACGGTGTGTTTAAGATACTAATAAGACTCGTACAATTTTTTAATTGCTCATAAATTGGTTAGAAATTGATATTATCTTTATAATATAAAACTGAATAATCGCACAAAGGTATATCTTCGAATGAGATTGATTATCTAACGGAATTATGTGAGATTTCGTTCTCTTGAAAATGTTTATCTACTGAATATCTGTATCATGTTTATGTTGTTTT